GTTTGTTGTTAAGTGCTGTCGAGTCATTCTGATTCACAGCAACCCTGTATAAAGTTTCAGAGGAGCAGATGGTGAATTTGAACTGCCAACCTTATGGTTTGCAGTCCAGTACTGATACTACAGCACCACAATATTTTGTGGCATACTCCCAATTTTCTCCCCACCATCCATTCAGCCTGTGTCAATCTATGTTTCCACCCACTGTTGCAGTTGTTGTTCAGTGTCATCTGTTATTGCAGGATTTTGTATATAACAGCATATATCTTTATTCCTTTTAACTCTTGCACTCCTCCCGTGTCTTCCCCTACCTTCATCATTCTTCTGCCAACCTTCCTCTTACTGCATATTGTCTCCTCATCATCCAAGTTAACATGTGTCTACCCTGTAGCAAAAGAACTGCCCCCTTATCCCTCCCACTCCTAGTAACCACCAACTAATGTATCTTTTAGTGTGAAAACCTTTTCTTGACTTTATTTTAAAAACAGTGGTCTCATGCAATGCTTGTTTTTTTGTGATTGACTAATTTCAGTCAGCATGATGTCCTTCCAGGTTCATCTGTGTTATGAAGTATTTCGCAGATTCACTGTTACTCTTCAGTGTTACATAGCATTCCATTGCGTGTATGGACCAAAGTTTGTTTATCCAGTCTTCCACTGATGGGCCTTTAGGGTGTCAAGATTCTTTTTGCTATTGTAAATGGTGCTGCAATGAAACTGTATGTGCATATATCTACTCATGCTGTGGCTCTTATTTCTGTAGGATATGTACCAAATGTAGGGAATGCTGGGTCATCTGGAATTTCTATTTCCAATTTTTTAAGGAAGTGGCATACTGTTTTCCAGTTACACCATTTTACAAACCCACCAGTAGTGTATAAGGGTTCTGTTGTTAAGTTGGTTGGTGTTAAGTGCTGTCAAGTTGATTCTAACCCATAGTGACCCTGTATAAGGTTTCTGAGGAGCAGATGGCAGATTTGAACAGCTAATCTTGCAGTTCAAACTGGCCTTGCAGTCAAGTGCTTATCCTACAGCGCCACACCAGGTTCTAGTCTTCCCTCTTAAAATATTTTTTCAAATATAGATGTTCAATTGCCTTTTATATATATTTAAATATATAAATTCTCTCTGGTATTTATCCTATGTTATTGTTAAGTGCCATCAAGAGGGTTCCGACTCATAGTGACCCTGTATAGGGTTTCCAAGGAGCAGCTGGGGGGTCTGAACTGCTGATCCTGTGGATTGCAGTCCAGTGCTTACTTACCTTTCTAGTTTGCTCTTAGTGTCGTCTCTCCATTGAGAGTGATGTTGGCAATTGGTTTTATACATATATATGCCCTTAATTATGTTGATGAGTTTCCCTTCTATTTCTATTTTGGAATGTTTGTTGTTTTTAAATCAGGAATAGATGTTGGACGTTCTGTGCTTTCTAGAAAATGTACTTAATATGTGGCCACTCTCTACCAGTGCTATATTCTGGGTAATTTCCTCATATTTATCCCGGTGTGGCGCTACAGATCAATGCGCTTGACTGCAAGGTCACTTTGAACCACAAGGATGGTGGTTCAAGCTCACCAGCCACTCCTTGGAAACCCTATACAGGGTTCCTATGAGTCAGAAGGAGTCTTGGTATGGCGCTGTGGGTTAATGCATCAGACTGCAAAGTCAATTTGAATTGCAAGGCTGGTGGTTCAAACTCATCAGCTGATCCTTGGAAACCCTATACAGGGTTGTTGTGGGTCAGAATCAACTCGATAGCACTTAACAACAACAACACGAGTCAGAAACAACTCTACAGCACTTAACAACAACAAAAACATCTAACTATCCATAACAATATTTTTTACTTGTAATTCTATTTGGTTTCATTTTAAGTGTGCCTCATCTTTTTTCCCTCTCATTTTTTAAAATTCCTTCTTATGAGATATCTAAAACAGTTATTTAGGGCAGGTATTTAAGTATAAAGTATTAAGGGAGACCGCACTCTGAATCCTAACGCCCCTCCATCATGACTCCAACCCCAGCCAGATAAGTGTCTTTGTCACTATCTCTACTAAGGAGATTTTCCTTATCTATCCTGTCACGGTCAGCATCTCCCCTTGAGGGTTCAGTTCTAGGTGAGAGAGTCTCACATGAATCCTGAGGCAATTTTTTCCCATCTCTTTATGGGTATTAAAACCAAGCTCCTGGGTATATCTAACCCTGACAAGTCAAAGGTTATGGAGATTAAGAAGAGCCATTTATGTTCATCTCTGGTCCAAAAGAATTACCCTCTTTCTTTAGAGTTCATTTGTGTTTTTAAAAGGTTATTTCTGTTATAATTTCTCTTATGTTTCCAAAAGTGAGTTTGCTTGGTTGCTACCTGAAAAATTCCGTTGGTTCAACATCCATAAAGCAGGTACCTCAAAAAAAAAGGTCTGATGCTCTACATCTGAAAACCCTATAAGTATAAGTATTCTCCAGCACACGGGCAATCATGAGTCAATATTCTACAGTAACTGGTATGGTATAATCTATCACATTACCATGAATGGTAAGTCTGATTTTAATACTTTGCTAATGCCAATATCCTTTACACTCTTATTCTCTCTTTTTACACATTCTCACACATACACACACAAATGAAGCGCATAAGTAGTAGCAGTTAGTGGTCAGTTTCAACCTGTCAGATAATTTTTTTTATAACCTTCTCTGTAGTATTTTCTAATAAACTCTCTACATGAGTAACAGAGAATATAGTTAAGAAACCAGAAGTAAGATTCAACATATGTGTGTTTGCTTTTGATAATGTAAGCCAATTCCGTGACCTTTGGCAAGATATAACCTCTTGTTTTCCCACCCCACAAAAAGGTTTTA